ATAGAGTCATGCATCTCTCTTGGCTGGAGTATTACTGGCATAGAGTCATGCATCTCTCTTAGCTGGAGTATTACTGGCATAGAGTCATGCATCTCTCTTGGCTGGAGTATTACTGGCATAGAGTCATGCATCTCTCTTGGCTGGAGTATTACTGGCATAGAGTCATGCATCTCTCTTAGCTGGAGTGTTACTGGCATGGAGTCAAGCATCTCTCTTAGCTGTAGTATTACTGGCATAGAGTCATGCATCTCTCTTAGCTGGAGTATTACTGGCATAGAGTCATGCATCTCTCTTGGCTGGAGTATTACTGGCATAGAGTCATGCATCTCTCTTAGCTGGAGTATTACTGGCATAGAGTCATGCATCTCTCTTGGCTGGAGTATTACTGGCATAGAGTCATGCATCTCTCTTAGCTGGAGTATTACTGGCATAGAGTCATGCATCTCTCTTGGCTGGAGTATTACTGGCATAGAGTCATGCATCTCTTTTAGCTGGAGTATTACTGGCATAGAGTCAAGCATCTCTCTTGGCTGGAGTATTACTGGCATAGGGTCATGCATCTCTCTTAGCTGGAGTATTACTGGCATAGAGTCATGCATCTCTTTTAGCTGGAGTATTACTGGCATAGAGTCATGCATCTCTCTTGGCTGGAGTGTTACTGGCATGGAGTCAAGCATCTCTCTTACAATGAGTGTTACTGGCTACAGTAATGCATCGCTCTTGGCTTTACACTCAGACACACGTTTCACACTCAGATACAAGTTTTACACTCAGATACAAGTTTCACATTCAATCACAAGTTTTACACCTAGATACAATTTTTACACTCGAGCACAAGTTTTACACCCAGATACGAGTTTCACATCCAGACATAAGTTTTACACCCAGATACGAGTTTCACATCCAGACATAAGTTTTACACCCAGATACGAGTTTCACATCCAGACATAAGTTTTACACCCAGATACGAGTTTCACATCCAGACATAAGTTTTACATTCAAGCACAAGTCACCTACTAAAATACAACTTACCGACTCCACGAAACTTTTTGACTGTGTCTTGACATATATACACGTCGAATAAGTTCCCTTTGAGACACACCCTTCTTCATGACGGCCACTTTGAATCTGCAGTCTGACAAATGACCCTAAGTACTGGATCGAGATGAAAACCTTGCACAGGTTCGCTTCCCTTTCAAGACTTTTGATCAGGGCTGTAGGCAGAGGTGACCTCGGGGTCTACACCTGCACGGGCGTGAATTCGGTCGGCAGCGGCAGTGCCACACAGGAGCTCTATGGTGAATGTGCTGAGTTGCTTGGGATTATCTGTAATGAAGTGGGGGTGGGGGGTTGTTTGTTTGTTTGTTTGTTTGTTTGGTGATTAATTCGGGGGGGGGGCATTTAAGTTAACTTTTGGGGGGGGGGGTCTTCTAAT